AATTTTCCCCAGTGACCCTTCTAAGTGTATATGCTTCAAAAAAAATCATCAGTACTGTTAACGGTAAAGGAAAGAAATATACTACAAAGTTGCAGTGACTACATTGCTCTGTTGCTCCAATATCTATGTGATTTATGTAAAAACTTAGTGGCCTGAAATAACCTATCTACCTCTTCAAGAATGAAAATTATTCTACTTTTAGTTTCATCTTCTCAATTATTTTAAGGAATTCAGTATGTTGGTTAATTTAGTATACACACTGTGATTGTCACCTGGCAAATATCCATGGCGTGCATTTAACTAGAGAAAAAAATAGTCCTTAAAGATTCGGTCTGCTCAGTGACAATAAAGTTTCCACTAGGGGTTTTTCACATCCTAAATTAAAGAGAGGACTCCAGTAGAGTCCAGGAACCTAAGTTGTTCTTTGCTACCTAGTTACTAGCCCAGCCACTGAGAAGCCTTGTCACTAGTGGGAGAAGCTCTTCAGGGGAAGGCACTCAGCCCCCTATTTTAAACTCTGATCCTTGGTAAATATTGGAAATCATTCACATCTTCATAGCTGTTTATAATTGTAGTCCTATTGCAAAAAAAAAGTAAAAGATGCTGAATGATGTATTTTAATTAATTGAAATATTTTTTTTTTTTTTTGTCTTTTGTCTTTTGTCTTTTTCCGTGTCCGGCAACGGATCGCAACCCTCAGTGTTGCCCCCGTACCGGACCGGGGACCGGCAACGGGATCGCAACCCTCGGTGTTGCTCCCGCGCCTCGCTCAGCCAGTGAGCGGGAACCAGTCTGTACGTGGGATCCGAACCCTCGGGCGGGAGCGCTGCCGCGCTTCCCAAGCGGCGTACTATCCAGTGCACCACCGGGCCGGCCCTAATTGAAATATTTTAAGAGAGTTAAATATTCATTTAGGGAAAGTGATGTAGTTTAGTCTGTAAGAGTGTGAGCTCTGAAACCTGGTCACCTGGGTTCAAATCTCATCCTATCTATTTATTGGCTTGTGAGTTACTCAAGTCATTGGCTTTCTCTGTCCTTCACTTATCTTAGCGATAAAAAGAATATAATGATAGTAACTAACTTGAAGGGTGATTGAGGAGATTGAGTTTATTTAAATAAAACACATAGAAAACAAAACTAGCATATTGTAAACACTCTATAAAATGCTTACTTTAGCAATTATTATTTTAAACTTTTTAATAAGGTTTTAATCAAAGATTTTTAATAAGATCTACCCACATATAATCAACCTTTACTAATGACATTTGGAGGCATTCCTGCTTTGAATTAATCCAAAATGCGCCAAGTTTGTCTGGGCTTTTTTAGGTCTTTCTAATATGTCTCCCAATTTCATCAATGAATTTATACATTTGTGTCTTCAGAGACACAATTATCTATTTCTTGGCTCTAGATCTGTTTTTAAAAGAAGTCTTAGACTTAATTGGGACACTAAGAGTTTATTCTTTGGTGGTTCTATTTTGTTATGTCACTTAGGTTTTTCCCACCTTGACGTTATGCTTGTGGAATGCTATGACCCAAAAGGCGACCAGTGGAATATTCTCCAAACTCCCATTTTGGAGGGTAGAAGTGGTCCTGGCTGTGCAGTGCTTGAGGACAGCATCTACCTGGTGGGAGGCTACAGCTGGAGCATGGTACGTGGCCACTCTTACCTCCTCCTCCTCCTTTTCATGCTCACATTTCCTGTTCATTTTCCTCCAAGTGTGTTATCACCCACACATGTACCTTTTAAGAGTATCATGCTTACATGAAAGTGTTACTTTAAGTAGTAAAATAGAATCAGCATGGTTGCTGTTGAACTGGCTTATTATCTGATCAACTGTATCTCAAGATGCAGTAGGTCTCTGGTTCTCTCTTCTCCCCATGTTCTTGTGATTTTGGCTTTCCAATTACAAGTCAAACTGAAGTGATTTTACAAATGTTCTGCTAACATTGAATAAGAAAGTGAAAAGTTTCTGAATAGTAAGACATGAAAAATGGAAA